GACCCAAGAAGGGAGGGGACTGTCTCTCCCTTCCACAAACTTCTAGAATTAAAGGGCCAACCAGAACGACTTCACCCCCGCGAAGACGACTTGCGGAGGTGTCGTCGAAGACGTTTCTGGGAGGCCCAGTCAGTTGAGAAACAAGTTTAGCCAAGTATCAGCTCAAATTGTACATAGACCAGAGTACGGAGTAGGAAGTACGGACTACAAAGCACAAATTAGCAATTTCGATCAAGCACATAGCATTATAGTCAAAGTCCCTTCACCTCCTACTCATTTCCAAGTTTTGTTCCCGATTACCATCGGGTGGTCCTTCGAACCGTACAAGTTTATTAGTCGGCACACCACGTGCAAAATTCAACAAAACTCGAACACCATTCCGGTAACCACGAGTACTTAACATTGGTCCTTCGAGCCGGATCCTACGACCTAAACGGATCTTCAACACGGAATCGAGGAACATCCTGCCACCACGCTACAACCAATTTGGATCTTGGACCGTACGCCACAATTGGGTGTGTGACAGCAGGACTACAACGCTCCACGTCAACACGAGAAGTCTGAGCGAGAACCCAGAAGACTGCAACAATTGGACAACTTGGCTATCTGGAGCATCTACCGGACATCCCAATAGTCATCCAGGAAGGATTCCGTGCACCTCACCCTAGAAGAGCGTCACGCCCCTGGACGAGATAGTGTTCCGGTCCGGAGTGCAGCAACACAGATCAGCCGAATCACGTGAATTGGACGAGCCAACGTCGCCATTCAACCCTTCCGTCCTTTGGTAAGTCCTTCCCAAGTCTACTTGCGTATTTCGTATACAACATGGAAACTCAAATGAAACAGCTTATCGCGGAACGTGGGTCCTTTAAGGCCAAGCTAACTCGTTTCAAGCGCTTTATGGAAACCTCGGCTAGCGAAATGCATGTGGACGCGTTAGAAAAAAGGTTCAAGCATACGAGGACTTGCGCGACAAATTTGATAAAGTGCAATCTCAAATTGAGGTAATCGTGACGGGTACAGACTCTGAGGCATCACATTTGGACGAGCGCGATGACTTTGAAAACGTCTTCTTCCCGTTAATCGCCTCCGCGCAAAGACATCTCGCGAATTTACGTGGTCCGCAACCACCCGCGAATTCCCCAAGCCACGCGTCGTCACACGCTCCAGACGCGCCGATGACCCCCCGAATGCCGACCATTTTGCTACCGAATTTTGACGGAACGTATAATCATAGGGTGCGTTTTCGCGACACGTATTTGACGATGGTCCACAATAATGAGTCGCTCACCGATATTCAGCGATTTCATTACCTAACTTCAGCTTTAAAG